TTGAGCTTGAAGAACCATTAAAAATGCAAAAAACATATTCTTATAAACATGTTCAAATTTAAGAATCAGCTTACAGTTCCAACAAGACGACGCTTTTTGTTTGATTTCAGTAGACTTATGTACCAATTACTGTCAATAACAGTGGCGGTCAAGTTAAACGTTTTTAGCAACAGAAAATGAACTGGGATTAGCACCCAAGCACCAAACTTTTCGGCTAGACCTCTTGCTGTAGCCTATATAAACATCTTGTTGCCCGTTCGTCCTGCAAAAAAAATCATTCGCAATGCTGAAGCACTACCACTTTTATTGAAGAATTAAGCTATGTTAGAAGATTACTGAAGTAGTTACCTCTACTCTAATCCATCAAAAGAAGTCGGTGATTTTCTTCCAGCAATTTGAAAGTTAACCTGTCGTAAGTTGGGCATTGCTATTTGATACTATTCCTGAAGAGGTTTAAAAACTTATTTGTGGTAATAAAACTTCACGGTTGTTTTAGAGCAATATAAAGTTTAAGTACTAAAAAAGCTTTCTTCGTTTAAATAACATTAACGGTTTTCACCTGGTTTATTATCGTTGTAAGATTATTTTCTGTGATAATAAAGTACATAATTGAAAGAATTGTACGACAGAATACAGAGAAACAGTATTAAAAGTTGCATTTGTCATTCGTATACAGCAGTACTATAATTTTTTGCTTCATTGCATAGATCAGTACAATAAAATAAAATTGAGACTTGAGCTTTCTTATCTGAAGCCAAAATGAAAACTTTTTTTGACGTTGCAAAATAAGTCTGTTATTCAAAAATTATTTCTTTCTAAGTAACAAAACAAGCAGAAGAAAACCGATTACATTTATAAACAACTTTGAGAAGGTATTTTTTTGGAAGACTTGAAAAATTTGAGAAAATACGTTAGTGTTTGATAAAACCAATGATATGAACACACTTTAATCAAAAGAAAACTGCAGTTAAATTAATGTATTTTGACAGGTATTGCTTGGCGCTTCATATGCATAATCTATTTGAAGAAAAGCAGAAAATTACTGATATTGTTTGAATAAATAAAAAATAGTTTTGCATATGACAAATGTACATAAAGCATAATAAAGATTTGACTAAAATATGTTCATGTTTATGTATTTGATTTTTTGACATTAATGTCGACGGTCAAGTTATGCCAAGCGCAACAGCTGTTAAAAGTCTGAAGATTCAATTTTAACTTTTGTGGGGAATGGGTATGCAACAATTGTAGACAGTCAATAGTCTTCTCTTTGGAAATTTATAATTCTTCGTAAAATTCATTCCCACTGCTTAGCGTAAAACTTTTTTTGTGAGTAAAATAAGACTTATTTTAGTGCAAGCGACAAACAGCAGTAATAAATAAAAGACTAAATTTTAAAAGAAGCGTTTTCTATGTCACATGTAAAGGTTTGGTAAGTTTGGGGAAATGCTGGAAACGAAAATTGCACATTAGCTAATCGG